TATATTCATCTTCGAAATCCCATACAGGCACCACAATACATATCTATCAGTGCTAACACAAACTTCTATGAAACAACTTTCGATAATTATCAAAAAAAAAAAAAGAAGAGAAAAGAAAATATATATATACTAAAAACGATGTTTTTCGGCCTCGCATTCCTTGCTGGAGTGGCCTCATATTCGCAGTGCCGCCTCTTTTATTTTAACTGCGTCCTCACAACCTCATCCTTACATCTCCCTTCCCTCCACCGTAATTCATTCCTCCTTATCCCTTCTCAAACCTCCTTTTCCATGCTTCCTTATTACCATAATCACGTATTCCTTCTTACTGCTCACCATTATTATTTTTTTTTTCTTCTCTCCTTTCCCTCTCATCTATCATTCCTCTTCATCCTACTCTTTATTCCTCCACTTCCTTGTTCATCCTTCCTCATTTCCTCTTCCCTCCTTTTCTTTTCCTCTACCTCCTCAAACCCCTCTTCCGCATTTGTTCCCTCCATCTTTCCTCCTCATTCCTCATTCCCCCCAATTTACCTGTGAATAGCGACGCCTTGGCTTTGCTGGTCCTAAACTGGTGCTCGAAGTACTTGGGCAGCCAGAAGAACAGTCCCGCCGCTCCCATAATGGCGAAAAAGTCGGCTAAACTAAGGCATACGACAACCTTATTGCTCAGGATCCTCCCCATGGCCACGCGGAGCTCTGTGGTGAAATACGACGATGAGAATGGTAATGGTGGCAGTTATGGTTATTAATATTGATTTATGACAGAAAAAAATAACGTTAATGTACCTCACCTTGAACAGAATTCGTTTTCGTTTCTAAAGCAGTTTTCGTAGTTTCTTGTGAACTCTCGTCTCCCGTTTTCTTCTTCAGACTCGAATCGCGGCCTCCTCTTTCTTCCTTACCTCTTCCTCTTTCTCCTTTTTCTCCCATTCCCCCATTCCGTTCTTTCGTGCCTCCGTTCCGTTCCTTGGTTTTCGGCTGTTCCAAATTATCACAAGGGACGACGGAAGTGTGGATTATTCCCGGATCCGAAAGCGGGTTCGACAGATGGCGTTGCTGTGCGTCGCCATTTTGTTGTTCGGCGCCGCATTCGACTGATGGCTTCTTCATTTTTCTGAATGACGAAATTTTTTAGTTTAGCTTTTAGTTCTTGGTCGTAATTTATTTTGAATATTCTCATTGAATTTAATATTTTCTCTGGTGGTGAGTATGCTGTTTTTCAGTCAAGGATCCTGACAAACGTATTTTATCATGATGATGATGCTGGTAATTATGATTTATAATAATTATGGTTATAATGGCAAACATAATAATAACATTATGATTATCCTGTCATTATAAGCACAACCATCACCATAATTATCAATATGATTATTACTCTGAAAGTTAATAGTGCAATTAATAAGCATAGTGTAAAGTTTGGCCAAGGTAGTAGCAACGAAAGCGACATGAAAGAGATGAACAGTAAAAGTAATAATGATAAAACTAATCAACAACAGTAGAAAGACCGACAACACTAAAAAAAAAAAAAAAAAAAAAAAAAAAAAAACAGCAACAACAAAAATAATGATAATGAAAATAACAACTATAATAAAAACAAACATAATAACGCGCAGATAACATTGCACACAGCATCCCGCAATTACCTGGGAAACAGAGCGATCCCGAAGGCGAAGATGAACATGAAGGAGGAGAACACGAGCGGCCCCACCCACCAGGCGCCCACCCAACGCGGGTCGCTCGGCAGAATACCTGTGGGAGGGAAATCTGGATGAAGCTTGTTGAAAAAGAAATAGAGCGTAGTTGATCTGTTTTGTCATAAGCAAGGTTGTTTGAAATGAGGCTTTATGTATGGGATTTAGCCATGAGCAAGCTGGCAAACGGAAAGCCGCGGATCTTCTTGTTCATCTTCTATTCATACCAAGTGTATTAACAGTTCAAAATCAAAGGTATTCAGCACGAAAAGGTAAAAAAAAGGGAGATTAAAGTTTAAATAATTTGAAAAGGATTGAAGAGCTTATCAGTGTGCATCAAGGGTGTGCACCCTTTCTAAAATGCCATTACTCTAAAATCATTTAAACTCTCGTTCACAAGTTTTGATATTTTACCAAGCCTAATTACAACCGTGACCACATTTAATGCGACTTATGAACTTATGAACAGAAACACCACAACAGCTCACTCAAACCAACAAATGAATCATCGATAAACCTCATCTTACCATCTATCTCTCCACATATTTCTCACAAAGCTAATTACTCACCATGATGCTGGCCAGGGAGGACGTAGATGTTCTGAGCAAAAGCAGAGAGAGAGAAGCCGATGAATGGGCCAACGATACCCAGGGTTGTGGACATGGCTGCGGGGAGGGAGGGGGCACGGTCAGTGGTTGTCGGTTAAAGTATCTTTTTATTGTTATTCTGTTGTTGTTGTTTTTTCTGTTCATTTAGTTCAATTGCTTCGTGTATTTTTATAGTGTTGTTTTATCTATTCGTATAATATATTTTCACTTATAGCCTGTTCTTCATTCTATGCTTTATTATATCAGTTTTCTTATCTGTACATTACATTTATTTGTATATACTTTATCTTAATATTTCTTTTTTTTTTTTTTGGTTTTTGCATTTCTTATGCAATTAATTCATCTTAAAAAAATATATTTTATTTATCTTTTATTTTCTTCTTATCCTCTCGCTTTTCTTATCTTTTATATAATTTTTACTTTTCTTGTCATTTCCTAGCAGTTTATCTGATTTCTTATCTAAGACATACATGTAAAGTTTAAAGGCATGAATTTGTTAAGTTCACATTTTAATTTCATGTTCATTCTAGATATCACCCTGTAATAGAAGTGATAGTCATTTTGAAGAAGTTTGCCTTAAAATACTACTAATTTTCTATGACAAAACGTTTTCTTTCTATTCTTAACAATAACTAATCTAATTTACCCACAGTCGAATTGTATTTGTTTAAACATTATTAATTCGAGATTAATATCATTAAGTATATTGCACTGATAACAAATCAGTTCTTACCATGAAAGGAATATACAGTAAATTGTAACCCAATTTATCGCTGAGCGTTTCCAAAGCTTCCAAATGAAGCTTGATAAATGCTAAGCACACATATACATATTTTTACTGATATAACACACTGCAATAAATACACACACACACACACACACACACACACACACACACACATACACACACACACACACACACACACACACACACACACACACACACACACACACACACACACACACACACACACACACACACACACACACACACATCTACACGCACTCACTCACCCACTCACGCTGCACTCACGACAATATCCACACATAAAACATTTACTGATCTAAAATCTACCGAAATAGACGGGCGAGTCCTTCTTCTTGATGCTGTCGTCCAGGTAGGAGGACCCCAGGGTGAAATTAAGAGCGTTGCCGATGCCTGCAAGCAACACATGGCTCGAGAAAATGCAGCAATTTGCAATGTCGTAAGAAGGTGTTGATTGGACTGTATCTTGCTTTAGTTGAGATTATGTGAACTTTTTTTTTAGAGTAGACAGATGATGCAATATTATGGACACAAATAAGTAAAAAATATACGTTTATACATATTACGTATATGGATAGACAGAGAAGGACAGAGAGAGAGAGAGAGAGAGAGAGAGAGAGAGAGAGAGAGAGAGAGAGAGAGAGAGAGAGAGAGAGAGAGAGAGAGAGAGGGGGGGAGAGAGAGAGAGAGAGAGAGAGAGAGAGAGAGAGAGAGAGAGAGAGAGAGAGAGAGAGAGAGAGAGAGAGAGAGAGAGAGAGAGGGAGAGAGAGAAGGGGGAGGGAGAGAGAGAGAGAAAGAGAGAGAGGGGGGGGGGCTGATCTATGCAGACTGTAAGAGCAATATCATGCTACTTATATTTATTCATCATTCTTTTGAAGTTGATAATCTTATCTTTTATAAAAAGTGATTAAATTCCAGACACAAAAAAAATAAAATGTGACTCCACAATTGGCATGGAACAGTCTCGAACGAGGGTCTTGAGATAAATAGAGATAGAGAGATAGATAGATAGATAGATAGATAGAGAGAGAGAGAGAGAGAGAGAGAGAGAGAGAGAGAGAGAGAGAGAAACAAGTAAAAGCAAAAACACAAGGAATCTCTCCGCCCTCCCGCGGGAGCCGGGCGAGCGCGGGCACCTTTGAGCGAGCGCCCCACGAGGAACAGGACGAAGACGAAGGTGTTGGAGAGGAAGCACGAAGCCTCCTCGACCTCCAGCCTCGAGAAGGACGAGAGGCGCGAGGGCGAGGTCGTGGGCGGGGCGGCCAGGGGGCGAATGGCTCGGGCTTCTTCAGGAGAGCAGAACTTTCGGCTGTCCTTCAGTTGGCCGGATTCTGCCGAAGGGAAACGGCTTACTATCTCGTTTTAAATTGAACATATCAGTTTAATTATTGCCTTTAGAATTAATTCTATTATTATTATTACTATCATTATTATACTTATTAGATTATTATTACTGTTATTATTAACATTATTATTATTATTATAATTACACTTATCATAACCAATATCATCATCATCACTAACATCATTATCACCATCATCATCATCATCACCATCATTATTATTATTATTACGATCATTATCTTGAAAAGCATTATTGTCACTATCATGACTAATATCATTTATCTTGAAAAGCATTATTATCACTATCATGACTATTATCTTTATCTACATTACTGTCACCGTTATCAACTTTGGAACTCCTCTTTGCAATATGCGAAATGTTTGAGGAGAGAGAGAATAAAATCCGTCGCAAAAAATCCGAAGCAGAAAATCCCAAGCCCATACAATGCAGCGTCTCACCTGACAGCGTGGGCGGCGGGTAGAAGAGGACGGCGGAGAAGACGGCCAGGGTGCCCACGCCCGACATGAACCCCCCGAGGGCCATCCAGCGAGGCCGATTGCCGCGCCCTCCGAGGAAGCTCAGCACCATCGACAGGATGATGGGTCCTGGGGAGAGAGGGGGCGGGGAAGGGAAGGGGGGGGTTGTTCAAAGTTGGAGGCGGAGGATGGGGGAGGGGAAAAGAGGGTTTCTTAAGATTTTTTCTGGTAAATTCAATACACATGGCTGTGATTCAAACCCAAAGTTACACAAACAGATTTTTACAGATACATCTACTTTTAATATATAAAAATGGTGACAACCCCCCCCCCCCCCACCACCACCACCACCACCAGACATACCCTTGACATGACCTACCGATTTCGCTGAAGAGAATGATGTAGCCAACATCTTTGCTAGAGAAATGGAAATGCTTCTCAAAAGACGTTGTGCTGCCCATGAAAAACGTCATTTCTGCGCCTCCGAGGATGTTTAAGATGCAGTAAACGACAAGAAAGATCCGTGGTTGGGCGCAGCTGGAGGAGAGGGAGGAAAGGGAGGAGGAAGAGGAGAAGGAAATATATTATAAGGATGGGGATGGTAATTGCTGTTTTGGGGCAGTTCGTGATAACACATTTCAATTCTGTATAGTGCTTTAATGATAACCAGTTCTGGAAGTGACGGGATTATATTGGGATTGTTTACAGCTAAAAAATAATCATAATAAAAAAACAAGTAGACGTTGAAGGAATGAAGTAAATAATACTAATATTATTCTATTTTGTTTCACCCTTTTCTCTTTATCTATTGTGGTGCTCGGGAGTGGAGTGGTTATTGCAATAAATGACTGATTATTTTGATCATATCATCTCCGTATCAAATTAGTTTAAAATGGCTTTAACCTTTGTCACTAATGATTAAAAAGAGGATGAAAAGTAACTTCATAATTTACATATATTTTTACACCATCACTTGTTATTTATAAAAACAAAGTTTCTAATATTCACGAAGCGTTCACTTTAAATTATCTTAATTTTCTATGACTAATGCTAACTGATCAATTGTAATTCTTGATTTAGTGTATTTCCAATTACTATTTCTAGCTTTTTTTCTTTTTTTACCTCTGACATTCGATAAAACAGAATTATGTTAACACTAAAAGATATCATTACTATAAATAAGTCAGCTCCAATGAACATATATCATGATTTTATAAGAATAACTTACTCATTCTTATATATTTATAAACTCAAAGATGATAGATTGTATAATTACCACTGAAGCCATTTTGGATAACGACCGAAACCGCCACACATATCCCCCGAAATCTCTCCTTCTTCGACGACATCGTGGTGTTTCCCATTGGTCAAGGAATGATTATTGTTTTTGACGTCACGCTTTTCTTCGCCAATGATTTTGCTGCTTGGGATGACGTCACGATGTCCTCCACCATTCAGGCGATTGTTTTCTGCAACGTCATTGTTCTTCCCGCGAATCATGTAGCCGTTATTGACGCCGTGCTTTACGTCATCATCCACCATGTTCCTGCCCCTCGTGAAGGCAAGGCGCTCCTCAGAAGCGAAGGTCGGATTGTCCATGGCGGGAAGGATGAAACTTGATTTTCCTGCCAATCAGAGATCCACCTTGGCTTGGATGATTGGTGAAGCCTTGTTCCACACGGTTCTGTAGATATTTAAAAGAAAAATAGAGTTAATAAATGAATAACTGAATGAATCCACAAATGGTAATCCATACGAACAACAATTATGATGACAATGAGAATAGCACGAATGGTAATAGAAAGTGCGATAAAAAAAATTACCATAAGTGTGACGATGGAAATAATGGTAAATGATATGCGAAAAGCAAGAGAAATCACTAATAAAGATGGCATGAACAAGGGAGATGTCAGTGAAATGTAATTAGAAAAATAAAGATGTTTTATTTAAATCAGATACAGTAAAACGTTCTTAATGTAATTTTCAATATAAAGATATAATGCTAATGCATATCCTATAAATAATGAATAATTCTGATACTCTAGTTATATTTTCTGTGGTGATGGTAAGACGAGGATAGCTAAAATTACATTCAGTGCAACAACAGAAATGCAATAATAACAATAATTATAGTAGCAAACATATTCTTGGTAATGATAATGAAATCAAAATAAGAATAATTTTTTAAAAAGATAGAACTGGTGATGATTTTATATCATGAGTTTCCCCTCACATTGGTCCAGCTGCAAGTGACGCGTTGCTTGATAGTTTGTGACCCGTGAACATTCACTTCAATATGATTTATTCCATGGAAACAGGTTTACAAATATGCAAGGTGAAATAAGACAAATTATCAGCAACTCTCAGGTTATGGCACAGGCAGATAAATACACAAGATGGAATGAGGAAATGCATCAGGCTACGTAAAATGCTAGGTTATTTGAATGACAACGTTCCTCGTCTCTCCTCACATCTCCACAGAAGGCAGCAACGCAATTTTATGCCAGGGGGATATCATAGTTTTGGGGCCTTCCATCTCCATGACTTTGTTTCCGTATTCGCAACGCAAATAACATGAAGTAAACTGTGAAACTACAGAATTTTGCAG